CATCTCCCTCGTCACACAATCGATGATTTTTCTGCAGAGCTACATATATGTCGTACTTGTTATGGTAGTGTGAAAACTTCACTAAAATCCAAGTGATGCTGTTAATATGGGGAGAGTCAAAATTTGTTGGGCATGACATGGTAATGCTCGCGATTGGCTGAAACGGTAACCCCTTGAGCACTTTCGAAGAAAGATGGCCCAATGATGACGCCGGATCAAAAGCCCCACCAGTCACATACTGTAAACCTTATTTCACGAGTTCTGTCACGGTTAGTATAAAATAAACGGTACAGAAAACCCAAAATAAAACATTGCTCTGTCTATCGGGCGTTGTCGGATCCGTCAGAAATACGTGTCATTTGTCGATATGGGGAGTTTTGAAATATTACTAGGTAATCAGGTGTTATTCTACCGTAATAGTTACTCATGAAAAAGACAATGATAAAAATTTTTGAAAACAGTTGTTGAATTAGATTGACTGATTCGTTCCAATGTCAAGTTAACCTTAGTAAACCCGAGCGGGCCGCAGTTGCACCCCAGACATCAATTTTTGGGGGTATTTTCTAATATATTTATCTTAAGTCAATTTCCTCCGAGGAATGTTTCTTAAATATATGTCTAATTTAGCATAGAAAAGTTTAGTGAAACTGCTATTTATTGTAACAAGTTATAGTGAGTTTTGTTCCTTGGGGTTCAACTGCATCCTGCTCGGTATGTTACATTTTACGCTATAACAAAGCAAAGGGTGCAGTGCATACAACAGATACATTAGAAACAGAAACAACTCAGAGAAAGAGTAATCGGTGGTCGATGGCAATATTTTTCCATCTACTGGACATTGGTGGCATCAACGCCTATAAACTATGGGCGTTGATAAATCCATATTTGAAAAAAATCGTTTGATTAGAAGAAGAATGTTTTTGTTAAAGTTGGGCCAAGAATTAATAAGCAAAACTATAACTCGTAGGTACCATAACGACAAGCATTTACATTCCAATATAAATCAATCCAAGTTAACCATTTTGTCAGAATTAAATGTCAGTAATGAACAACTTGTTCACGTTATTGACAGACAGCGGTGATGTTCCTTATGCGACAGACGTAAAGACAGGAAATCCCGAAAGTTTTGTATTCGGTGCAATCAGTACGTATGTGCAAAACGTTAAAAAAATGTAACAGTTTGTAACAAGTATGATAATTGAATTATTATTTAAAATGTCACAGATTCTTCTATATTATATTTTTCTTAATTATTTTTCTTCATATTATAATGATTTCTCATTATTATTTAAAATGCGTTTACTTTTCAATGTTTACAGCATACCTATGTACGGATATATATTTTTTAAATAAGAATGTTTTTATTTTTGATTAATCACAAGTAAAAAAAATAAGCTGAAAAAATGTTGGAACATTTGCATCCCATTCGGTACTTAAAGTTTTTGACCACAGGTTTATGAAGGTCAAGAAAATCTTGTGATCGTATACGTTTTGATAGTAAATCTCGGTTACAATTTATGTATTTTATTTAGTCTCATAACATGTTTGATATATTGACCACTGACTGGTAGGAAATAAATCTTTTCGCCAGAAATGGGGTCAATCGGCGAAGGAGGCAAATCATGTTTTCTAGCTAGTTACGGTTTGCCCTTTGACTTGTTTAAGTCGACTAACCAAATCAGATCCGACATTCACAGATCGTTTAAAATTATTATTTGTGGGTGCTTAGTGCCAGTGAATGATATTACTGTTTTGCATAATTTCTAGATTCAGATGATTTTTATCAGTTCCCCTATCAAAACATTTTCCAGTAGTTGAGCCTAAAACTTCTCTAGATTCTTGTTATCTAAATTTATTCATAGTTACTTAGTTTAATAGAATCTGATGTGGTTGATAAATAACTGTCAAAATCCTTGCCCAAGTTTAACTAAATGTCATTTGATTCTACTCACATTTTACATACAACTTTACCACTATATGTTCTCTATTTTTCAATAAGTCGTATAGCTAGTCCGAATCTGTGACGTTCCTTCCTTCTCACTTCTACCTGACACGACATTTGAGTCAGTGAAGCTATACTAGCAATTGCGATTGCGGCTATCGTGGTTGGTGGTGACCAGTCATCCTGACATACAGGAACACTTATTGAAATAAAAAGTGATAACTTCGCGCGTTTTTGTTTTCTGTCTGAAAAAATTAAGATAAATAAAGATTTGTCTAATTTTCTAGAAAGCGAATCGACAAAAAATCAAACGCCAAAACAAAGCCCTTTCAAACAAGCTATCACTTGACACCCCTTGTCATTTAAAATCTTTAAGGGAATGACTCTGGGGGGCGAGGGTGAAAGTGATGAAGAAGCTTTTGTTCAAAAAGTTGTCCCCCTTGACAAATCTTTTGTAGTGTCTCGGCGTTTTTTCTTTTAGTCAGTGGTTTTCGATAAATCGTAGTGGGAAGTTTTCAAATGAACACCCTGTAGGACATGACTACAGCAAATAAACAGTAAGTTTCGTATTACAAAAGTTGCTTTATCGAATTTTGACCGAATCTATTTTCCATGAGTTTCTTGGATTTCCAGTAAATTATATAAAACGTAGCAATGTTTACATTCCATCCAAGTAATATCGATCCCGGCAACGAAGACTATTGCAACTCAGTTTTGGTTTACCTGAGATATAGGCATTACCAGATTTTCCGATTAATTTCGATGTCAGAAAAATGATGATCCCATCAAAAATATATTGCACATTGCAGGAATCTCTGTATATAGAAGGTTATAAATAGTATTACTATACAAACCTAGCGAATACGGCATTTTTTTTATAAATTTGGTAGACCTACTATAGTTTTCGTTGGATTAATTAAAGTAAAATGTACAGTTGCTCTAGACTTAGTAGGACACGTATTAAAATATTACAGTATTTTTCAAGCAAATGGTCAAATAAAGCCTCTTTAACGTCGATCTGCGTCACTCAAATTATACTCGTATTCATCTTACTGTTCTTCACTATCACCGTTCTCAAGTTCTGTACTTTCAGCACTGTTAATGTTATGTCCTCTTTGTGTTTCCTTACCTTCATTGGCTTTTAGAGAGAAATAAAAAGCAGTTAAGCCTCAGGACTGCTGGGAGGACTGTTTGCTTTTGATTTACATATGTCTAATAAACAATTTAATTTTCTAACATCTACTGGAAGCAAGCTTGTGTACAGTAAAAGTAGTTCCTGAAGCTTATTGTTTTGCGGTCTCATTCTCTGATAATTTTTCTCCAATTTCACTATCGTGAGATCATCAGCATAGTCACACTTATAATAAATATAATAAATATTTCATTCCAGGAGGCACGTCTGATGAAGAATGGATTTTCCGTATATTATTAATTTTCTGTTCTCCACAATCATCTTTGTTTCAATTTTCCGATTTTACCTTTTGTTTAAAACTAATGGATCCACGACCAACCGCAGACAGCGCTGTTTTGGGCTCTTTAGCCCTCAGTAGTACGGTGCAGTCTGTGTCAGGTCCAGACTTGGTGATGAGCGAATGCAAAGCGAACACGCGAGTGTCGTCTTAGCAAAACCCGACAACTGTAGAAGTTAAATTCTCTGTTAAGATTTTTAACAGGCATGAGAGAAACAGAGTGCTGCTTGTACTCGTTGAAGCTGCTTACAATACAAGTAAGCAGTGACGGTTTGACCCCTTTCCAAAAACTCATAATGTACAATTCAAGTTGCTGTCCATCAAACACACAACAAAACCTTGTTTGGGTGCAAGGAAGCCTTGGGCGTGTGTGGTACCGAATCAGTAGGCGACAACCAATTCTAATACAAGATCCATTTTTCGTCGCAGGTTAGTAACCGATTGAGAAATGGTTCATTAGCGTTGCGTGAAATGTTTGCTGAATAAATGGTAAGACGACTTAATTTGTTATCATTTATTAGTTCATGTGGGACCTATTTGCTTAACTTCCACGTCTTTCCTAGCTGACGAAGATGCCAACAAATAGTTTCAGGGCTCACTCTGGACATTTCTGCATGTTCTTGGCACGTTGTCCTGGAATTTGGGTCCATAACCTGTCGAAGATCCTCGTTCTTAATGATTTTTGGTCTCTCTGAGCGCGGTTCATCGCTCAAACTGAGATCTCCAGAAGAAAATTTGTTGAACCACTTCTGTGTTGTTCGATCACGAACGGCATCATCTCCGAATGCGGTACATATTTTTCGCGCCGCCGCTGCAGCTTTTGTTTCAAGTTTGTACTCATACAGTAAACAACTTCAAATTACTGTTTTATTCGTCGCCATTTTAAATTTTTAAAACTAGGTATGTAACAATTTTCAGCAACTTTTTATGTGTGTGAGACAGCAAGGATTCATACTGAAGTGACAACAGGTAACAAACAATGGCTATCGTAGAAGACTTACTGACTCCGTATAGTTTTGTGACTATTATTTCACCAAAGAGAAGTCTATCGATACTACATAGTAGGTCTTTATTAGGGAAACACATCGGAAATTTCATTGTGGCTATATCTGACATAGTGCTATGTTTAGTGCATGCGGTGCAGTATCTTGATTGGTAAAATTTTCCTCAATTACTGATTTACGTCGTTGTGTTCTTACTGATAGTGGTCATACCCAACAAACACTATGCTGGTGTGGTATGTTGTTGGAATTTTTGCATACAGTTCAGGCAATTAGGTCCATGCTAGATTCATGGCACCTGATGTGGATGTATGCAGAGTATATTATAGTGTGCACGAAAATAGTAAAGTGTGGCCTTTGCAAGATGAAATTCCATACGTCATGTGTGTCTGTGAGAGACAGCTGGTTAAACATCTTTTCAGAATGCGAAAATATATTTCGGCTTTGCGACGATTGTAAATGCTTCTTGCAGTCAGTCAGTAATGAGACAAAAACTGATTATAACATTATTGAGAAAAGAGTAGGAAAGCGTCAATCGAGAATTGAATTCAACTAAAAAACCTTTGCCTAATCTCGAATACACTGTAGAGTTGCAAAAATCCCTGCTGAAGTCGTACGAAGAACGTGAACCTGCAAAATCTCAAGCATGTGGTAGTAGCCAGGTCAATGTACATCAACCTGGTCCACTTTTTAGTGATATAGTAAAACAGAAGAATAGGGACAACTCATCTATTCTTTTGATTCAATCTGTTGGGAGCAACTCCTCTGACACAAGCAAGGTGTTAGATGACATAAAATCATCTGTCAATTTGGCCAGCATGAATATATGTGTAAATAATACACGTAAAATCCGTAACGGGGTTGCGATTCATTGTAAAGATGATGCATCTCTTAGGTGGTTGACGGTCTCTGACTGTCGAACGCGGATGTACCACCCGGCGGATCTCGTAGGCAGGGCCAGAATGTGTGCATCTTGCATGCACACGTGTTCCCTCGACAGAGTCCATGTGGCGTCCCCCCTTTCCCGTTTCCTCCTATAGCACCATGGTACCCCATGGGTGTTTAAGCCTTAAGCGTTCGTGGTACGTGGAGTATAAGAAAAATCTTTGAACTCATTGAAAACAAGTTTCGGTACAAAGTTCGCATCGAAATATACAATCTCTGAGGCCAAAAAATTATATCAAAGGTTAATAATCAAAAATATTAATTTGGATGGTATTGATTCGCCAGATGATATCACGAATATAGCTACCCTGAGTAATCTAACTGTAACGCAAAAATCTCAGATTAAATTTATCACTAAACTTAGACTCAAGAGCGGAACTAGTGTTGTCATTGAAGTGACACCAAATTTAAAAATGACCATGTTACATATAGGGTCGTTGTTCATTGGTTGGAAAAAGAGTTTTATTTCTGACCATTTACGCTTGATGAAACAACAAAAGATGATAGACACACCAGCTTTGTTTTAAAAGATGTATAGTAACGTACGCTTTTCGAATATCCTAGCGCATTTGTTCAATTACTCACAAATACGAAATGTTTGAATTTGTTTAGAAGAAAGAAAACGTAACCTTCATTTTTCGCATAAAAATAACAATTATCTTTCGGAATGGCTTGTGATTCATGTCGGCAAGGTAAACTCGTGCATTTTGCTATTAAGTGCTCTTTGAACGAACCCTGTATATTGCTCAATAAACTAGTAGTGATGGCCGGAAAACAGGTGTTTTGGGATAAACAAATTCTCAAAAAACTACTTGACCAGTATAATCCAATTTTGTAGTTGTTATTAAGAAGGATGAATCCTACGGATTTGAAGAATTTCATGTAGTTGCGTGAAATTATTGTCGCATTACCAACAAGTGCCAAAACCTCCATTGTGCCTCGTTTTTCGGCCATAACATTTTTGCTATTAGTCGGATCTTTTTATGTTTGGTCTCATAAATACCTAAAAATCTTGAAAATTTTTTTCGTTCCTTCAACACTTTCGATTGAATCCCAAAAAACACGTTTTCTCATTATTTGTTGTCAAATAAAAAGTTTTCCCCTCAAAAATTGGTGTACCCATTTTATGCGTCCATGTTTTAAATACCCCCTTGAACAACTTGCACCAATAAAACAAGATTTTACTATTATTTCGGGGAAAGTTGCTAATATGATTAGACTATATTGTAAACACATTATCTATCCACTTAATTTACTTACTTTTCTTTTTCTTCTTCTTCTTCTTCATCTTATTATTATTATTATTATTATTATTATTATTATTATTATTATTATTGTTTGTTTGTGTATCGAGTATAACTATGTTACTTTTTCGCACACAGTGAGGTTAAGTGTAAAAGTAGCCCTTTGGATAAACTTCGAATCACTGATGTACAGTAATGGAAAAAGTATATAGACAAATTAATATTGTGCTGTATTTCTTTTTTAACTTGTTTTATTAATACACCAACCTGTATACACAATTCATCTTAGCATAATACTCACTTATACATAAATCAATTCATTAGACAAAATTAATTGAAAAAAAAACTGGAACTATGAACGACAAAAATATATAGACAAAGCAAAACAATTATAAAAAAAAGAAGCAAAGTTCATTGAATTATAGAAAACCAACTATGTGTTTGTGTTAATATTTTGTAACATAACCAATATTATCAATCAACGCCTGGCACCGTCTGGGCATAGATTGTATAAGTTTCTTGATGTAAGATTCATCAATCTGTCTCCACTTTTGCTCTAAAGCGGCAAAAAGTTCATCCTTGCTTGTATAATTTTTATCTCGTATTTGCTTATCTAAGTATTCCCATAGATTTTCAATGGAGTTTATATAGGGAGACTGTGAAGGCCATTTGAGAACTGGTATTTTTTCATCCAGAAAGAATTTCTTTGCGAGATTGAAGTGTGCTTCGGGTCATTATCTTGCTGGAAGATTTATCTTAAGGGCATATTGTCTTCCATATAGGGTAACATGACATGCTTTAGTATGTCTGTGTATACAAACTTATCCATAATGCCATCTATTCTATGTAAAGGTCCCATCCCAAACCCCGAAAAGCACCCCCAAACCATAACAGACCTGCCTCCATGTTTGACAGTGAGCAAAGTGTACTTGGGGTTCAATCTTTGTCCACTAGGATGTCTAACGTAATGAACACCATCTGATCCAAACATATTTAACTTGGATTCGTCACTGAAACATACCCTCTTCCAGTCACATATGCTCCAATCAAGATACAACCGTGCAAATTGTAATCGGTCCTTACGGTTTAATCTTCTACATATAGTTTTCGTAGAAACACTGACAATTCCTTTTGTCTCGATTTCGGCTTGGGGTTTTAAATGGATCTTTGGACGACATTACTTTTATTAATCTAACTGATCTAGCATTTAGTTTTCTAGGCCGACCACTTCTCTTAGAGGCTTCCAAGATACCTTCGTGTTTATATTTGTTCGATATTGCCAAAACTGCTTTGCGCTTCAGCTTCAAATTTTTGGCAATGTCGACTTGACGTTGACCATCTTTGTATAACTCAATGATCTTAGTTTTCACATCGAAAGAAATTTCTGGACCACGCGGCATGGTCTTAAAATCACTAAACTTATTCCACAATACTTGATGAACACAAACTAATCCTCTTCTGACACGAAACTATACTAAACTAATGTTGAAAAGAATTTGTCTATATATTTTTGTCCTTCATAGTTCCAGTTTTTTACAATTAATTTTTTATTGAAGGGATTCTAATGAATTTAATTATGTATAAGCGAGTATTATGCTATAACGAATTATATATACAGGTTGGTGTATTAATAAAACAAGTTAAAAAAGAAATACAGCACAATATTAATTTGTCTATATACTTTTGTCCATTACTGTATGTGTATTAATAAAGACATTTATTATTATTATTATTATTACCAAAACTCAAAATTTCAAGGATCATCAATTTGGTTTCATCAGCATTCTACAAAATAATGCTTAAACTTGAACTAAATATGTTTTAGGAACTCAAAATTCCAGGGTCGGATTCAGTTATTGTTTATTTTTTGTATTAAGTACAACGCCCTAAATAATGTTTTGCACCCTATTTAGTTTTTTATTCAGTAATTATTTTATGATTTAGTTCCTCGAACTGACATTATACAACATGAGTCCTGCTTTAAAGGAAACGACATTTTGTTGTATACAAATGCTATAAATTTAACTCTCTAGATGAATTAAAGGTTATGATGAAAAGCCAGAAACACCTAGTGTCCAGGTCCTGATTCTAACCACAACTCTACGTTAGATTAAGTTACATAATGTAACATGGTGCATAATCTAATTAAATGTCAAGTCCGGACCTACATATTACGTTCTTATGGATTTTTCACTTAATTTCAGGGTGGTCTGGAAGGTAAAATTTAGTAGGATTCCATTCCCTTTTACGTAGAACTCAAGTTGTACAATATCAGTGGTTAGAATTGAATTATTAAAAAATGTCTGAAAGCAGTAAATAGGGTGCATAACATTAATTTCCCCTTTTATTTGTATCATGTATAGTGCTGCCGAACTTACTGATTTTTCGATATTTCTACCGAAATGGGACGTTTACCGAAATACCGAAAACGTTCTCATTTTCCATGATTTCTTAAGATAATTCAGATATTACCAGAATTTTTTACCGAAAAAAAAAAAACTGGAACCAAAAATTATGCTAGAAAAATAATTATATTTAGTTTTATGCCACATACCAACACACATGGGGTCACATGAGGAACGTAGATTTGGATTGCCTATAATTATGTCTGTACATCCTTTTCTTGAATTGGTTTTTGTGCGTACTGGTACAAGTAGATCACCATCATCATCACCGTATCACCGGACAAACAATAACGAAACCAAAGATGGTCTGTTTTTAATTACATATTAAATAGAAATGCCAGGTGACAAAGCTTCAGGTTAAGGAGTTAAACAGAAAAATCACAATCTTATAACCAAGAATGGAGAAAGGAGTTTCCAGAATGGTTGCAAAGGAGTTGAAGAGCGACCAGTATTCTCATTGTATAAATTGTAAAAAAGAAGTCATTTTTTTTTCTTTATTAAAAGACGGCCTCAAAAAACCTGTTGTGCGTGTTCGTGTAAAACAAAAATATATTCTTTTCACAAACGGCGCACTGTGACGCAAAGGCCCATCTTGCGGCGGCCCTGATTTTTCTCTCCTTTCGATTTTGTCCTTGAATCTGCCAAATTTCAACGGAACTGATCTACCTATTTCATCCTTTTCGGTTCGGCATACTGATCATGTATTTATTCTGTTGTTCTACGAGATAATAAATTCAGTGTATAACTTATAGGGCGTTGCACTTAATAAAATAGAAGGAAATGAAAAAACTTATTCGACTCTGGAAGTGTGAGTTCCCAAATAATCTTTAGCTCAATTTTAAGCATTATTTTAGAAAATTTCAGTGAAACCCATGTTTATGTCACATAAACTCTTTGAGTTACTATAGTCTTTGTTGCAGGGGTCGATTTATCTTTAGTATTGCTACACTCTGCTAAGTCCAATATACAATTCGTATACAATACTAAGCTGTTTTTGTACGGAATTGTGCTTCACCTTCGGTTATACGTCGCGGCCACTTGAGAACCATAAGGACTTAGCATCAGCAGTATCGCTAGTAGTTGATGCTCTCATCACAGAATCATTGTCCTTGGTTTTGAGCCCCCTTCATTCCTCTCGTACACAATAAATACGGGGCTTCAATGATTCTCTGCATATCTTGTATCTTTCAGCTTGCCCATATTATATCTTTGAAATGTAACTGCTTTCAATTCAAG